TATGTTCATAGCCGCTAAGGCTAAGTGTAAGAGCGCACTATAATGGGAATCCACGGCCGACCACAGTTGCTCATTGCATTGCGTCTACTACGACAGTGGTATTTTGATCATGCTGATGACCCACTGATTTGTCTGGTCCAGAAGGAATTATCTACAGATGTAAATGGTGCAAATGGTCAAGACTGTGGAGTCAACCAACACATTAAGAAGACACGTGAAATACTATTCAAACTGGCATTAAACTTAGTGTCTTGCCTCAAGTGCGGTGACCAATTACTTTGGTCGTGGACTGGTTCAGTTGATGGAGACTGCCTGGAGATGTGAAGGATGGTGTTCAGATTCCGGTTGTGGTACCACTAAAAGTTTTTCTAAGACAGCACAAGTAGTTACCATGCCTTAACATTAAGGAGATATACTGTGGTGTATACTGTGTACGCCAGTTAGCTAGCACAATATTACCAGTCTGTACCAGCCCTCAGACATATATACACGCGCGCGCGCAAGCACCAACCCACGCAGGTACGCACGCATGCACACATACGTACCTTTATTTGCTATCTCTGGGCCACGTTATATCAGAAGACGTTAAAGCATGGTTCTTGTTGATAACCTGCTCAGCATTAAGGGGATGAAACTAGGACTGGTTGACGTAGTCAGTATGCTGAATCTGAGTGCGGTATACATGTTAAGCTGCGGCATGGTATCTCCGTTTTTCGCTATAAAACCGGCGTATGTACGCGCACACTCACACACACACACTACACACACACACACACACACACACACACACACACACACACGTGCGCGCACGCAGAGACACACACAAAAACACTCGCACACACACATACTCACACACTCACAGACAAACAGCAAAAGATGCATGAACGCATCAGCAATTGATGGACGCAACGTCAACTCACCCACATGCTTCCTCACCTTATTAAAACTGGTACAACATATGTTTTAACGTTGAAAAAGACTTCATATCACTTCCGTATTGCCTGACAGATTGTCTCATTTGTGGCCCAGTAACAGTTGCATCACAGCACAACAATGGTATCACAAGAACAAGCCGATAGTCCCGTTGCGTATTTCTGGGCACACGGTGCTATTTCGAAACTCATTAGTTTCCAGTGAAACCCCTGTAGGGTGGAAGAGAAGTGTTGTTTTACACCTTGTTGTGGTGGTATGTAGGTACTCATCATGAGGGGACGGATAATGTTCTAATGAGACAGGAGTCACTTCAAACAATGTGATGATATTACCAGACCACTGCAGAGTGTGGAAGCGTTATACCAATATTGCGCAGGCGGATCAATATTCTAATTCAATTATGTTCAATCTGTAACATTGCTTTCCTTTGAAACCCGTGAGTTGAGTTTTTCATATACATGTAGTTGGTCATCTTTAAACGTTATTGTCAAGATAGGGGCGGTGGCCAAAGCGTTCTCTCGTCACGCCGAAGGCCCAGGTTCGATACCCCACATGGGTAAAATGTGTGAAGCAGTTTAGTCTGGACCTGTTAACCTGTAACTAAATTAAATAGCATTTTCTCAGGCCGAGAACCAAGTCCACTGTGTTGCTTGCCCGTGAAGTGAAGATTCGGGTTGGAAGTGATCCTCAGCAGCCCATGCTTGTCATAAGAGGCGACTAACGGGATCGGGTGGTCAGGCTGGCTGACTTGGTAGAGGCATGTCATTGTATCCCAGTTGCGCAGATCGATGCTCATGATGTCAGTCACTACATTGAATGGACCAGACTAGATGATTTACAGATCGCTGCAATGTAGCAGTAATAATATTAATGTGGCGTTGAAACAACAAAGAAACAAAATACTGTGTTGTTTCGTACGACAAGCGTAGTTCGTAAGGGCCAGTTCTATCCACAGAGTGACTGTTGTCCTTTTGATACAGACTTCAACTACACTGGTCTGTTTAATTAGACCGAACATGGAAGTAACAGGCTCTGAAGGGTTTTGATTTCTTAGAATTAATAATATCTGTTTTCTTTAACCTTGCGCATTCACATGCCTTTTTCGCGATAATTGTAGAAACTCGCATCAGACTTCAGTGATCCATCTTGACACGTGTTTCTACGTTAACATCGTAAGAAGACAGATCAGTCAGTAAGGAGGTTTAAGTCAATTCACCAGGATCGTTATTTTGGTTCTGTTACTATCTATTCCATAGGATCGAAGTATATTGTCTCAGCTTTAAAGTATAAAGGGGTGAGTGAGTTTAGTTTTACGCCGCTTTTAGCAATTTTCCAGCAATATCAAGGCGGGGGACACCAGAAATGGGCTTCACACATTGTACCCATGGTATCGAACCCGGGTTCGTTCTTTGGTGAAGTATTGTAAAGATCCAAGCTATTGCAAAGTATCATCTTTCAAGAAGTATTTGATGAGTTAGTATCACAGCCACAGAGTATATATGGATATTTTATTCTGCAGTGTAACACAGGACGTTAGTATACAGACGCTACAGTTATGTGTTTTATGACCTTGTACGATGATACATGTGGTAAGAATGCCGAGCGAGCTTTTACCATATAAAGTAGCAAAAATTCCTTACTCAATTTAAAACAAGGGTATGAATGTTCAATTAGATCATCAGCGCCAGAGAGTAACACCAGTCTTACCGAACCCGATTCCACTGGGTGTGAATAACAATGACATCTGTCAACGCACACTCAGAGCAAGTTAAAAAGAAGTGATATATTTCCCATGATTATATATGATAACTAGTATCACTTGTTTTATATTACAAGGTACCAACTATCTGCTATTTTTAGTGGGTAGGTATAGGTTTACCTCGCTGTTAGTAGTATTCCAGTAATATCACTGGGGGGCACCAGAAATAGGTCAAAACATTGTACCTACGTGGGATATCGATTCCGGGTCTTTGAATTGAAAGGCGAATAATTTAACCATTAAGCTAACCTTTTGGCATTCGTGAGTGGTGAGGTGGGAGTTTGGTTGAAGGGAAGGGTTTGTATGGGGAACTAGAAATTGTTTCAGCTGAGGATGTTAAGCCACATGTTTAAACAAAAAATAACTTTGGTGAGGTTGGAGTTTGGTTGAAGAGAAGGGTTGTATGGAGAACTAGAAATTCGTTCAGCTGAAGATGCAGTCATATGCCCTTTTTTTAAAAACAAACTAACAAACTTTCGTCCACGCAACTTAAATGTTTCTCAAAACGCAATTCTAGAATTCAGTATCACCTTGGCGGACCATGCATGTGTAGCAGTACGGAAGAACCTGTATCCCACAGAAGTAATTACGCGGAATTGGACTGTGAATATTACACAGAGCCATCGCCCTTGGGCCTCTGTCGACCTCGTGGAATGATTGATGTCCCCAGCAGTGGTCTAAGATGGACGTCACCTCAATATCATCATCTACTGAACCACATACTAACTAATACATCTAAAATGGTTCTGTCTGTGAGCCTTGACTGTTCCTATATTTAGTTCTGGAAAACATTCCGGCGGAGCGGACATCTTGTATGCCATTTTAACATACACCCTGGAACTTGCAAATGCAAATTCACAGGACGGAGCACTGACATCTCTTGATATTAAATTTGTAGGCTGGCAAACATTGTCGGATATTTCCCTAGAACATACATACAATAATCATTTCCGAAAAGGGTTATACCAGGTACCAGATGCAACTTTATATATGTCAAATTATTATTATTAATATACAGTCACAAATATCCCAATATCCAACATATATTCGGAACTTTAGAAATGCGAACATTTCGGAGAGCTTTTGTTAACTTAATGTCCTGTTTTCTCTTTATTTCTTTCGCTGTGGTGCGATTACTGACGACACGGTATTGTTCTGCCAATGAAATTGCCTTGAAATTGCACGTGCTAGTGAGAGACAGTTAAAAACACCAGACATTTGCATATTATCGTATAATAACTTCAATGGCAATAAAGTCATTTTGTCGTTATGATGTATTTTAATAATACATCCAAATGCATATGTTCAATATCTTACCATATATGTATCACACATAGTTTGGTTTCCAAAAAAGATCATGTGAACTGCTTCTTATGCATCGGGAAATTACATTTGATTCCGGTTTGAACGTATGGAGGATATGCCCTTGGGCTGATACCTGATTAAGTTACGATTTTTCGTGTGCAGAAATGTATGGTAAAATTAAAGATATATGGAAGCATTGAATATATATTACATATCTTAGAGCTGGAGTCAAATTTGTATTTAACTAAATACTTTAAAAATAGATTTTGGGCTGTGGGGTAGCCATATTCTTAAGCTGTCAACACAACAGCCACAGATCAATGCAGACACGTCCCTGTATATTCTGAAATAATTTAAATCGCAACGTTAAACCTTATTTTAACATTGCCAACATTATTACTAACTTTAAAGATTGTTGAGAATATACGATAACCAACTGTGACCCCAACATCCGTTATCCAGTACTGATATCGACCGGTGAAGGTCCGAGTAAGAATTGGTCTTCAGCAACCCATGCTTGTGGTGTAAGAGGCGACTAACGTGATCCGGAGTCAGGCGTGCTAACTTGGTTGACACATGTCATTGTATCCAAATAGATCGATGTTCATGATGGTAATCCATGGATTGTCTGGTTCTGACTCGATTATTTGCAAATGTCTGTCATATAGCTTGGATATTGCTGAATGCGGAATAAAACAATATACAAAGAAAAGTACTGATTTATCATCCTAAGTGCTGATAAATCATACACGTTTACAGTATATGCACAAAAAGTTCATGGAACAATTCAATATTACTGAAAAGGGCGGGTGGGTAACCAGGTGGTGAAAGGAGTCAACCGATGGGTTTGCTTCATACACGCGTGAAGCACCTTCTTGAAGCACCCCTAAACCCCACCTTCGTGATATTGCTGCAATACTGGTAAAAGCGATGGGAAACCCAGCGTGCATCACATCAATAAAAAGATCTTAGAAAACAAACAAGAGAACAAACCGCTACTTACCTAGAGAAATCAGTGCTAAGTAAGTAAACCCGCTCAGGCACCAGTCCCGCATGGCGCTAGATGATCATCACAAGTTCACAAAAGAAGTCCTGATCTTCTGCTCAGTGCTATCGAATCCTATACTTCCCCAGAATCTCGCATAACTGCCAGAAACCTTTAATTTGTTACAAGATATAGTCCTCGTGTCCGGTGAATTAATACACTTACACGGGTCCTGAAAAAAAGGACGTGGCCTTTTATATGTGAAAGTTTTTCAAAGGAGTAAACAGCGTGATTTATATGATCAGCTAATGATTCTGAAAACACTCTTTGTTACTTTTTACAGCGTGACAGTGGGCTGTCCCCGCTTCCTATCTCTCTCGTCGCTTTCTGCAACAATGATCGTAGACCGTTCTTGGGGAATCAATCTGTGGCGGCTTGAGAGAAGCCTCGGCCAAACCCGCGTGTTTGGGCACTGAGACTGTCGCGCGTCAGCGTCGGGCGCTAGCCACATTTCGGACAGACTTCTGTAGATATTGCCGTCAGTGAATAAGAGGAAGAGTCCATTCTCTGCGTGGGGAGGGGCGGGGGGAGGGAACACAGTTGATAATCTGCAAGAGGAAAATGCCAAACGACGTCAAGATCAGACGTATCTAATTCTTGTGATAATACATTCTATGTTATAATTAAGCCGCAGTAGAAATAGCGCGTTCGAAGAAAATAGATAAACCGACTACTTCTGTAGATTATAGGATAGAACTTGATATATACAGCTATGGTTCATCCTTTCACAAATAGCTGGTATCATCACTATTTGATGGTGATTCATAAACACATGCTCGTGATACAGCCAGAATCGTTGAATCCTCTCTGCTTTTAACCGCGGTTACTTGTGGCATAGAAAGAGTTTCGCCGCTTCTATTTAAAGCAGTAGAGTGAGAAAAGTGCATCTAATAGTACATATGCTGTTTACTGAAACTGAAAGATAAAAGTAATATATTTGTAGAGGTGGGTATTGCAGAGAATTTTCATATTGCGATATATTGCGATGCGAAAGCATATATTGCGATATGTATTGCAATATATTGCAAGAATTATGTATTTGAACAAAAACTACTTATAATCGAGTTAATGCTTGATTATAAAGCAAAAACACAACAAAATCACTATGATTGATTAACCTTTAATAAAAACTTTTAATCATGACAAAATAAAAATGTAAGTAACATTTGGCACTAATGAAACAAGGAAAAGAACAATTTTAAAAGCGGAAATATCCGAAGTTTTCCGAATGCATGTCAAAATACCGGTTTTCGATCAGCGTATCGCAGTACGTATCGTTTTCATGTCTGAACCGGTAAATAAACCGGTTATATTGCGCAGCCCTATATATTTGGGCGGAGTTCGGTGTTACTTTAGTTAGTACATGGAAAAATGTTTGACTATTATTTCGTAAGTTTGTGAGCAGCAAGAAAAGTAAGATACTTTATGGATGACGCGACGTTTGGGTATAGATTCTTATACTGTTGTCAAGTAACAGTGTATAATAATATGATAATATAATACTAGTATAAAGAAGTTGTCATCCATGAAGTGTCTTACCTATTTTATACAAACATGAAGTATAAACATATCAAGAAACATATTATTCAAGCCAATATATTTCTTTCTTAGTCTGCCATTTAGGGTTTCATCCACCTATGTTGCAATTGTAAGTTCTTAATGTATTTGAGAGTATAAAAGGAGTATATTAAAATATAAATACTGATGGTGTTATGAATGTTAGTAAATGTGCAAAGCATACAATATGTTTTTGTAAATATGTTTTTTAGGTGCAACAGACGTTGTAAAAAATATCGAGTTGTCAATTACTGGATGTCGGATACAAACAACATTACATGTGTAGGAAATAAGATGAATGGTTATTTCAAATATTAATTTTTGTAATTGTCGCAGTATTTGAGTAGTATCGCGACCAGTCAAGTTGATGCTGGATGCAGAAAACCCCGATGCGACCAATTGCAATGTACCTAGACTTCGTGGATATTCATGCCACGCTACGCCACGCAACGCAACGAGTATGACACTGACAAGATGCCCTACAGATATGACACTGCCACGCCGTCCCACTAATACGATGACGACGTGCCATGGCTATTTTACTGACACGGACGCCGCGGAAAGTGACACTCGGAGTCGACAGCTGGGAAAGTAACACTCAGTGTCGACAGCGGGGAAAGTAACACTCATTATCGACAGTGGGGCAACAGTAACACTCAGTGTCGACAACCGGGAAAGTAACAATCAGTATCGACAGTGGGGCAACAGTAACACTCAGTGTCGACAGTGGGGCAACAGTAACACTCAGTGTCGACAGCGGGGAAAGTAACACTCAATATCGACAGTGGGGGAACAGTAACACTCAGTGTCGACAGCGGGGAATGTAACACTCAGTATCGACAGTGGGGCAACAGTAACACTCAGCGTCGACAGCGGGGAAAGTAACACTAAGTATCGACAGTGGGACAACAGTAACAGTCAGTGTCTACAGCAGGAAAAGTAACACTCAGTATCGACAGTTGGGGAACAGTAACACTCAGTGTCGACATTTGGGAATGTAACACTCAGTATCGACAGTGGGGCAACAGTAACACTCAGTGTCGACAGCGGGGAAAGTAACACTCAATATCGACAGTGGGGCAACAGTAACACTCAGTGTCGACATTTGGGAAAGTAACACTCAATATCGACAGTGGGGCAACAGTAACACTCAGTGTCGACATTTGGGAAAATAACACTCAGTATCGACAGTGGGGCAACAGTAACACTCAGTGTCGACAGCGGGGAATGTAACACTCAATATCGACAGTGGGGCAACAGTAACACTCAGTGTCGACAGCGGGGAAAGTAACACTCAATATCGACAGTTGGGGAACAGTAACACTCAGTGTCGACAGCGGGGAATGTAACGCTCAGTGTTGGCAGTGACTCAATATCGGAAAAGGGGAAAGTAAAAGATTGGCATCAGAAACAACTCGACTGCCGGGGAGGTGTAGGTATAACGTTGTGTTGTCAACATGGCTAGTGATATTAACTTTTGTATTGGAGAATGTTCTTACTGTGGAGATTATAGTTATCGCCATTTCATGAAGTTATACTTACAGTCGCCAGTCGGGAAAATAATAATCGTTCGGTACCATACAGAACGTAACACTCATGGAAAATTATTCCACGTGTCTGTAGTGCGACGATTTATCCGACAAATTAAGCGCAACATTGTGCAGTCGATCATTTATTGTGTGCACGTTTAGCATTCTTCTCTGTCGTTACATGCATAGTTCATGAATAATACCTCCAAATGGCGAATTAAAGTCGTTACATTATAATAAGTACATAAAGAGTTCTGAAGCAGACTCTGCAATAAAACCAAAGTGTTTATCTAAGCACCCGCTGGGTATGGGTGTTTTTTGCCCTTTCATTTCCTAAAACCGTTTGAAAGGTCCTGTTATTAATTCCCTGCTGGAGTGGTTTTTACAGAAGGCCAGATATTGCAAATTACTGGAACCGAGGGAGCAGCATCACGGAACATTATCCTCATGCGAGGAGTTGACATTTATGTTATTTATCATTGTTGAATATTCTCGAGCCGGGATCGTTTTCCACGATCACGCCAGAAACACTAGAACCCCTTCGAAATTAAACAATATGTATTACATTTTACGAGGCTGGGATTGTCAATTGAGGAAAATACGGAAGAGTCATGTAGTTGCAATAAAATAGCGCGTGTGCGTGAGTGCGCGTGTGTGATTGTGTCGGGCTCATGTGTGCGTGAATGTATGTGTGTATTAGTTGGGGCTCGGGTGCCTGAATGCGTGTACTGGTTGGGGCTCGGGTGACTGAATGTGTGTATTGGTTGGGTGTGCGCATGTATTAGTTGGGGTCGGGTGGGTGTATGCATGTTTAAGTTGGGGCTCGGGTGGGTGTTTGGGGCTCGGGTGTATGTATGTGTATATTAGTTGGGGCTCGGGTGTATGTATGCGTATATTAGTTGGGGCTCGGGTGGATGTATGCGTATATTGGTTGGGGCACGGGTTGGTGTATGCGTATATTGGTTGGGGCTCGGGTGGGTGTATGCGTGTGTTGATTGGGGCTCGGGTGGGTGTATGTGTATATTAGTTGGGACTCGGGTGCGTGTATGCGTATATTGGTTGGGGCTCGGGTGGGTGTATGCGTGTATTGGTTGGGGATCGGGTGGCTGTATGCGTATTTAGTGGGGTTCAACTGAATGTATGCGGGTATTGGGTGGGGCTCGGATGTATCTATATGTGTATTGGATAGAGTTGGGATATGTGTTTATGTGTATTGGGTGGGGCTGAAGTGTGTATGTATGTGTGTAAGGCGTGAGTGCATGTGTGTATTGGATGTGGCTCAGGTGGGTGTATATGTGTATTGAGTGGGGCTCAGGTGTATGTATGCGTGTATTGGGTGGGGCTCGGATGTGTGTGTATGTGTGTTTGGCGTGAGTTCATGTGTGTATTGGATGGGGCTGAGGTGGGTGTATATGTGTATTGAGTGGGGCTCAGGTGTATGTATGCGTGTATTGGGTGGGGCTCGGATGTGTGTGTATTTGTGTCTGGCGTGAGTGTATGTGTATTGAATGAGGCTCATGAGGGTGTATGTGACTCTCAGTGGTAGTTGGCCACTTGCATCTATGCAAGACATCCAGTAACCAAATATTGTTTCCTTCTCTGTGCATGACCATGAAACAGGGTCCGCACATCTGAGTGTTCTAACATCAAGGGCCCCTGGCCCGGTAATCGAATGAGTGCTTACATTGTTGCCCTGGATGTGTAGCCTGTGGGAGAAAAGTTACTCAAACCTAAACTGTTTTATCTCACGGCTCTAGAAAAGGCCGTGTCGACTGTGCACTATACACACAAAGCAATCTTTACCAGTTCCTTCACTGTTGTGGAGAAACGGCAGTCGTAGCCTGGAGAGGGTGTCCAACTGGAGTTTCCCTGCACACAGCAACTCAGTACAGTAACATTATATATGAGCACATGTTTTCGAAGGGAAATGTTTAATGCTACTACACCCTATAGTATTGAGCATGGTGATAGCTAAATTCTACATTCACAGATGAAGGCTATGCGAGCGGAATGTTAAGTTTGGAAGAACAAACATGTTATAGTTATAAATAATTCATTTATAGAAACATAACAGGACAGGGCAAATAAGAAGGGTGCCTTCAAATTCTATTCTAAAGATAACATTGTCATCTCCAGTCCTTCCGGATGGGACCAACCTCATACAGCTGGAACATTGCTGGGTGCGACTTTAAACAACAAACCAACTAACCTTCCTGATTGTGAGACCCGTGAAGGTCCATTTTAAGAATCGATCTTCAGTAACCCGTGCTTGTCGTAAGAAGCGACCAACGGGATTTGTTGGTCAGGATCGCCGACTTGGTTGACCCATGTCATCATATCCCAATTG